CCCCCCCCCCCCTCTTTTTTTACCTGTAAGTGGGGATTGCAACCCTCAGCACCGTGTGGTCTGCACCACGCTCACCCAGTGAGCGCACTGGCCATCCCTATATAGGATCCAAACCCGCGGCCTCAGCATTACCAGTGCCGCACTCTCCCGAGTGTAAGTGGGGATTGCAACCCTCAGCACCGTGTGGTCTGCACCACGCTCACCCAGTGAGCGCACCGGCCATCCCTATATAGGATCCAAACCCGCAGCCTCGGCATTACCAGTGCCGCACTCTCCCGAGCCAGCCACGGGGTCAGTCCTCATGTAACCTTTTTCTTAGAGTTTTATCTCATTCAGTATGCCACGGGGCAAATGCTCAGTCTCATCTCGTGATTAGTTAGTCCAGTTGATTCACCCATATTTAACTGCAGATGAAAAAGGCTGATGACTTCCTTGGGAAAATGGCCACTGAAGATCGGTCCCTGCTATGTGAGCAGGAGGTGGCTCAGAGGGCAGAGTGGGGCTTTCCCAGGCAGACTCAGGCAGGTTGGAATCTTGTTTTCCCCGCTCAGCAGCCATCACCTGGGAGAGCACTCACCCTCCTTGAGGCTCTTCATGTAAAACAGGGACAATGATAAATAGTAGCTGCGGGGCCTCTGTCTGTGAACACGGTGCTGGTTTAGCAGGGGGCCCTGGAGCTCCCATCTGAGTCGTGTGATCTTGGGCAGGTCACTTCATTTAGGTGAGCTCAGGGCAACACTGGGCACATTCAAGTGCTCAACTTGTGGCAGGAGAGGGTGGGAGAAATGTTAGGAGAAAGCAAAGCTTTCAAGGGGCTCATGAATCACCTATGTGGGTGCTTCAAGAAGTTTGTGGAAAAACAGGATTAAAAGATAATACAAATCTTTCCATGAACTTTTTGAAGTACTCTCATATTTTGAGTACGGTAGGGAAGGCTTGGGGCCTCCATCAGACACGGGGGCAAAGGTGTGACAAACAGGACCTAGGAGAGCATGCAATGAAGCTGTTCCAACCCAAAGGTCTGGCAGACAACCGGTCACAAAACTGACCCACAAATAACTTTAATTTTTGTTTTGTTTTTTTGAGCAGGAGCCAGGCCTTAAGGGCCCCTGCCCCAGCCCCGAGCCGCATTTATGATATAGCCTACCACAGCTGAATTTAAAAAATACACAAAAAAATATATATATAATATACATTATAAAACCTAGGTGGGGTTTGGAGGTGGCCTGAGCAGTATGCAAACTGTGAGGACCTTCAGGAAGCTCGGGCAGGGTAGGAGGTAAGGAAGGGAAAGGGGCACAGTACTTCATATGAAAGTCATAAATACCCAGAGGTGGCTGCTGGTCAGGCCAAGCCAGCTCTCAGGGGCCTAGGGGTTGAGAACTGGGTCTGGGGAGCTGCTGCTCCAGGGCAGGGAGGCTGAGGTGGGGAAGAACATAAGGGAGCTGTGCACACCAAGGGTTTAGCAACCCCTAGTCTGGGCAAGAGAAACCATCAAAGCCTTCTGCCGCCCCTTCTCTGCAGGACCCTGGTCTGCCCAGAGGCTAGGACTTCCTCTACCTGGCCCTCAGTCCAATCCGGTTCCTGAGCCTGGGTCTGCCCCTGCAGGGTGCTGCTGGGCTCAGGCTCCTGATCTGGGCCAGGGCAGCTTGGAGGTTACTGGGGCATGTGGCTGGCTTGTGGGCTGACAGAGGGTGCCCAACAGGTTCCTAGTAGCTGCTATACTTCCCTCTTCCTGCCTGGGCAGAAAAGCTGCTCCCCTGTGAGGGGAGACTCCTGGAGGAGGCACTCTGTCCAGGCCCCCGACCCAGCTGCCCCCAAGGAGGCTCTACTCCTCAGTCACAGTGCAGACCCTCTCCCTGCGCCCGTTCCAGGGAGGTAGTGTAAACCTGGGCTCTGGGAACAGGCAGCCCCGGAAGAGAACTCCAGCTCTGCCCACCCTTCCCGTGGGTCCCTCAACTTCTCAATCTCAGCACTTCGTCTGAAACACGCTTGTTTTGCAGGGTCTGAGGATGGCACAAGCCATGCCAGGGGTCTGGCACCAAGCCTGGCACACAGAAGGTGCAAAGAAGTGTTGACCCCTCTCTCTTCTATACCCAACCCCAACTCAACATCCTCCTTTCCTGGGGCCTCTGCACACCAACTCCCTTGTCCTCCATTCTACCATCACCTGCCCATTACTCTCCCCTGGGGGCCAGTGGCCACACATGCCACAGCCCAAAGGTGTCCTCCATCCCCACCTCTCTGAGGTCACTCGAGGCTGGGCATTGCTGAGTAATGGTGGGTCAGCACCCTGGGCAGGCTGGCCCTCCGCTGGGCCCTCCTCTCTTCTCCCACAATTAAAGCGCAGAACAGTGGCAGGGAGTATGTGTGCTGGGGGTAGGTGGGAGGCCTCCTGGGTCCTGGGCCTGAGGCCTGGCAGGTGGAAGAGTCCTCAATCCTGGACCCCCCGGGGGTGCCAGGCAGGTGTGTGGAAAAGATGCTTGTACTGCATCCTTGTTGGGGGGCAGAGGCACCCTAGTCTTTGACGAGTTTGTAGACATGGTGCTGGGCCCCATGCTCACTGGTGGAGACTTCGAAGACAAAAGCAATGACAAGCAGGGTCTCCTGGGAGTCCCGGCTCGTGACCACCTGGGGGGCAGGTAGGAAGATTCAGGAGGTCAGGAAGAACAGGGCCACAGGGGCAGGGGACTGAGCAGACTCTTCCTTCAGGGTCTCAGTCTCCTCTCAACAGAATGACTGGTCTGGTACCCCACTCTGGCCTTCCCAGGACCCCACCCCCCCACCCCTGCTGCCCCCACACCTGCAGGATGGTGAAGTTCTCCAGGACACTGTTCATCATGTACTTCTCGGGCAGGTGTTTCAGCTTGTGGATGAAGTTGATCATGTACTCGCACATGGGTGAGCGGTGAATGCGGTACACGAAGCGCCCGTTCTCCAGCCTGGCGTACTCGGTCTGTGGAAAGCCGCGAGAAAGAATCACTTGGCCTGCCTGCTCCCACCCCACCATGCCTCCCGGGACCCCACTCACCTCCACCTTCTCCACCACCTGCTTGCCAAAGGAGCACACCTTGGTGGAGACACTGATGGTCATGCTATCGGCAGAGCTGTACTGGGAGCTGACCCCATAGAAGGCTCCAGGGCCCTCCTGGATGGTGCTGTTGAGGTCGGCCTAGGGGTGGGGTGGGAATGAGGGGTGTCAGATGCTGACAGAGGCCAGAGGGAGAAAGAGCAGGGTCAGTGGTCAGGGCGGTGGGCCTGGGTGTTGTACATCTGAGTGGGGAAAGGGGCCCGGAGCAGAGAGGGAGCAGGATGGCTCACCCAGAACTTGACGAGGAAGAAGGCATTAGGGGGCCCCTTCTCATAGAGCTCCTTCAGCCCACCCTTCTTCTCGGGGAACTTGTCGTAGATCTGGCGCACATCAACCGCCTCCAGGGGTGGGTCTGAGAAGGCAGGGTTCGTCTGGCCGATGTGCACAAACAGGTGTTTGCTGTACTGTGGGGAGGGCCCAGACAGGGTCAGGAGAGCATTGGAGCACACAGGCCTGAATGGAGCTGCCCTGTGTCTTCCTGGACAGGCCTGACCCCCAGCCCCATATCCCCGAGCTGTGGCCCTAGATCATTCGGCCAGCCATCCCCCACTCCCACCACGTTACCGTGTCAGGGTCTCGCTGCACTTCCATGAAGGCTGAATACTCGAGGAGCCGCAGCCGGGAGGAGGCAATGGTGCGGTCCTGCCACACGGGCACAGAGGCAGCAGCTGGGGGGAGTGGGGCCAAAGGCTCGTAACCTGAGAGGGCAAGAGGAGCCTTATCTGCACAGGCACATGCACATGGTTGCACACAAAGCTGCCCCAGCTGCACAGAGCCTCTGTGCAAATTAGAAAATGGCACCCCATTTGGGTAGGAATGTGGCTTGGATTTTGACTCCTTGTACAGTGCAAACCTGAAAACCATACACGGTGGCCCTAACAGTACATATCGGGGACATTTCCTCTGTGTTACTATCAATGTGTGTTTAAACAGAGAACAGCGAAGTAAAAAGGGAAAAGAACAGTTATCCAGTATCAGTATACCCACCATCTAGAGAGAAAAAAAGACCTGTAAAGATGCTGGTGTATTTCCTCACTAGGAGTTTTCTATCCACAGAGATACATATAAATGTAATAACTTTGGTGGTGTGTACTTGTAGCTCTGTATTGGCTATAAGGTTTTGTGCTAGAGTTCTGAAAGCAGCATTGTACAAGGTAAAGGGATCATTCCTGGCCTGTACCAATCCCCTATAGATGTCACCCACCCCACCCTCCTAGGATGAACACACACACATACGCATGCATGTGCACACAATTGGGCCCCAGCTCTCCTAAGCAGAGGTGTAGAGGCCAAGGGACAGAGAGGTGGTGGCAGCAGCCTGGTGTGGGTAACTTACTGCTGAGCGTCGGTGGCAGGGGCGGCTGGATGGGGTAGGCTGGCTGTGCAAAGGGTTTGATACTGCAGGAAGGAGTACAGCCTGGTTAGAGGGTCTCCCCTTCCCCACCTGCCACCTGGCCCAGCCCCTCATCTAAGACCCCACAGGAAGCCACCCAGCCTTTCTGCGGAGGCCCGTAAACACATGCTGACATGCTAACTCACAAGCTTTTTGTTTTCTTCACATTTTATGTTTTATGAAACCCTGCTGCATCTCACAATTGATGTGCATGTTTAATGTAGCGTTGCAGCCTCACCCACCCCACCCCCACCCCGGAAAGCTGTTCATTAACTGAGGGTGTGTCTCGGAATTGAAGAAACCAAGTGTACTTGACTACCTGACTTGTTAACAGAGACTGACTCAGATGAACCACGTGAAAAATAAATGAGGGGATGGATGATGAGGGGATAAATGGGTTGATGAATGAACAAATACACGAATGAACAGACAGAGGCATCTGTTCTCTCATGGCTGCTCTCTGTCCTCCACTTTTGCATTAAAACTTTGCTCAGCTGTTGCTGGAACCCAGATGGGAGGGGACACCTAGCATGGTTGCCAGGAGAAAGACGAGGGTGTGGGAAGCCACAATACTCACTCCTGAGAGGGGCCAGGCTGCTGTCCCAGGAGAGGGGGGCTGCTCCAGAACTGCAGAGACAGGACAAGGGGCCCCTGAGTGTCCCTGAAACCCACTAAAGCCCATTCTTTAAGACATAACCCCACCCCAGCCCCACCTCCCAGAACCCTTGTACCCGTGAGGAAGTGGAGAAGACGGCCTGGGGCAGAGGGGAGGGTGGGCTGAACTTGTTCTGCAGGACACTGGCGGAGACAATCTGGGCAGAGGACATGGATGCCATGCTCTGGAGGGCTTTGTCTTTGGAGACCTGGTCCTGAGGAGGGAAGGGCCACGTGAGGCCTGGGCCAGGCCAGGGACTAGGAGGAGGGTTTGCCTCAGGGGCACCCTCCTAGGCCCTCCAGGGGTCTGGGTGTCTGGGTCTGAATTCCAGCCCCAGCTGTGCTGTGTAGTCTCAGGGGAGTCCCTACCCCTCTCTGGGCCTCAGTCTCATAAGTGTACATCACCCCTCTGACCACAATCCACAGTAAGAAATAATTTTATTCCATAACTCAGTATATATCAAAATATTTCCTTTTGCTGTGTGTCATACACTCTCATATTTCATATTCTATTTCATTAGTGGTTCTCAAAGTATAGTCCATGGACCAACAGCACCAGCATCACCTGTGAGCACATTAGAAATGTAAATTTTCAGGCCCCAGCCCACATCTACTGAATCAGAAACTCTGAGGGTGAGGCACAGAAATTTGTTTTAAAAAGCCCTCAGGGTCATCCTAATGCACAGTAAAGTTTTGGAACCACTGTATTTCTTTCTTTCTTTTTTTTTCCAGCAGCTGGCTGGTAAGGAGATCTGAACCCTTGACCTTGGCATCATCAGCACCATGCTCTACACCAAGTAAGCTAACCAGCCAGCCCCTGTATTTCATTTTTTTTAAAAAGTGCTACTTGCAAACCTATTAAACTGATTTCACATTCCATAATTTGAAAATCCTCTGCTAGTTGCTCTCTAAGACCCTTTCCCCTTATCCCCACATTCCCAGAGGAGGGGTAGTGTTACTTACCAGGTTCATGGCCTGTGAAGGAGAGAGGAGGATGGATTAGAAGAGACATGAACAAGGGCTATGTTTTTCTTTTCACCTATCTCCTCCCAGTGCCCACCTGGCTTTCAGCTCCTTTCCAGCCAAGCAGCCCAAGGAAGCTTAGAGGCAGCTGTGGACACCCCGCTCCCCCCACCAGGAGTGCTTGCAGCCAGGGGTGCCCTGGAGAGGACAGGATGAAGGAGCAACAAGCTGGTGCCCCTGGGTCTGTCTGAGTCCTCTGGAACTGCACTGCAGGCATGGGGGGCTGGGGGTGGGAGACCCAGTCTACTGGGCAGCTGTGGGCGGGGAGAAGGGCACATAGCCAACATGGGGCTCTGCCAAGGGCCCATGTCATGAACCCCAGACCCCCAGGCTCTGAGATCCTCAGCTGCAGAGCAGCCAGGACTGCAAGGAATTGTTATGGCCACCTCTACTGCCCTGCCAGCCAACATCCTCCTCCCTGCCCACCTCAGGTCCCCATGCAATTAGCAAGCAGCAGTTAGGAAGAAGTAGAAAAATGAAAATGGAGAAGAGGAAAGGTGGGCCTTAGTGGCCCCCAGACAGTCTCCCTCTCCCTCACTGTAGGGCTGGCTCTCCTCTTGGGCTCCATCTCGCTCTCCAGGGGCTGTAGCCCTATGTAGCCTGCCATGTCCTTTGGCATGAAACCTCCTTACAGCTTCTCAGTCCCCTCCCTGCCCCAGCTGGGGTCAGAGAGTAGCAACAGGCCTGGGCCCAGAAGGGTACTGGGCAGGACCAGGCCAAGTGGCAGGGGGCCCCATACCTTCAGCTTGGACTGAATCTCCCGAGATTTCCGCCTGGCTAGAACCTGCAAGTGGCTAGAAACCTGTAGAGAGAGAGAGAGAGAGAGAGATAGAGAAAGAACAGAAAGAGAAGGATAGGCAAGAACAGAGCTTCAGCCAGAAAAGAGGCACAGTGAGGCTGCAGGGTTGGCTAAGGCAGAGGCCTGAGCTGTGCAGATAGCGGTGGAGGCACTGTGGGTAAGGGGCCAGGGGGCTGGAGGCCCCAGTCAGGCCCCCAACGTACCTTGATGCCAACCTGGTACTCCCGCACCTTCTTCCGAGCTAGAACCTGTATGTGGCTGGACACCTAGGGGCCGCCCCGCGCCCCGCCAAAGAGGAAAACACAGACAGTGAGGAGGCATAGCCACAGGGTGGCCATGGGCAAGGAGCATCCCAGCCCTCATCTCTGGGATCCAATGTAACATGGGGGGAACTTTAGGCCCCTACAGGCAGACACCTCTTAGGACTGCTAATTTTGCTCTTTTGGGCCTTGTTTTGATCAAGAGCCTACAGTGGCTTCCAGGGCCACCATGTACAGTTGTGTAGGTTGTTCACTGCCCAAGAGTACCTGGCCCAGAGGACAACAGTAAGAGCTGAAATCCAGCCCAACTTTTGCTGGCCAAGCTCTGTGCCCTGGCACAAGGCTGTACCTAACCCAGAGGAAGGGTGTTTTTTTCCTGCTCAAAAAGGAGAGACTTTTCCTTACTGCTATCCTCATAAGAGACACCTTTTTGTAATTGGCACCACAGAGGCTAGCGATAGCCATAACGTTCCTGCTGGCCATTATATTGCATACCACGGTCACATCCTCTACCAAATATCTCCCTCTGTACCACTGCCTACGTCTTTCTATCAACCCCAATAACAACCCAGCCTATAAAACCAGACCTGGTCCTACTCCTGCTTTGCCCTGGCAGCTTCTTCCCCCCAACACACTTTCTTTCTCCTTGGGTTAATGTATGCAAGTATATACATGTACACAGTAGGTGCTCTTAATTGCATTTCTTCTCCAACAACCTCCTCCCTGAAGCCTCCATTGGCAAACCTGAGCTAATCACGGTCTTAATGTGTACTCCCTGGGCTTGTGCGCCGGCTTGCACAACAGGCCCTTGACATTGTCAAGGACCCGACGCTGAGCCTTAGAGAACCCATGGGCCACTGTCTCCCCCAAGTAACACCAGGAAATGCATGGATCCTCTGGACAGCTTCACACTTTGAGTATCAGCAATTGCTGTTGGCTTTCTTGGCAAGTTGTTTTTATCTCCACAGAAAAAGCTTCTTTTCCTTTCTAATCACAGCCTGAAAGTTACTATGTATGTGATGCCTGGCAGCCACTGTTGCTACTTGGTCAGGACCTACCTGGGAAGACCTCACTGCCCACAGGAACCAGACTCAGGTGCGACCAAATTACTGCATGCCATGACTGTAACTGACATTTACAGAACACAAGTACTAGGAGAGTACTTCAAAAATTCCACAGAAAAATAGACTTAAAAGATAATACAAACCTTTCTGTGTACTTTCCGAAGTACCCTTGTATTGTTCTCAGCCTGTCACACATACTGAGTTGTTTGATCCTTACAGCAACACTATGAAGTAGGTACTAATACTACTTCAAAAATTCCACAGAAAAATAGACTTAAAAGATAATACAAACCTTTCTGTGTACTTTCTGAAGTACCCTTGTATTGTTCTCAGCCTGTCACACATACTGAGTTGTTTGATCCTTACAGCAACACTATGAAGTAGGTACTAATACCATCCCTGACAGATAGATCCAAAGCACAGGTCTTCTTTTAAGGGGACAATAGATATAAAAACCCAGAGTTCTAAGAAAGAATATAGAGGGAGTCTCACTCCTGCAAAATGATTAAGATCAGCGGTTTTTAAATTCTGAGCTTGCCAACATCTGGTTTGGAAAACCTCATTGTCCAGGATGCCTATATAGGAACAGGTATAATGCTGGACCCAGAATTAAGAGCCTGCGGGTGTGCCCCAACCTCTGCCATCCACCCTGGGCCTCAGTTCAAAGTGACTGAGCTTCATGATCCCTCGGCCCCTTCCCGTTCTGACAGGTTCCTATGAACACATCCTTTGGGTGAAGTATGACTCGCTGAGAGAGTTGCCTTCTGAGCTCAGGACAACTTTCTCTTTATAATCATGACAGTAATAATAATAACAGCAGCAGCAGCAAATTCTTATACAGCACTTACTCTGTTCTAGGTGTCTTCACATACTAACTAATTTAATGGCAGAGGAACTGAGGCTGGGAGGAGAAACACGCAACCAGGTAGTAGTGCAGGTACTTGAACCCAGCGGTCTGACCTCTGAGTCCCTGTTCTTAAACATCGGGCACTATTCCTCCTGAAGCCCCAGGCTTGAAGGAACTGGGTCCTTGTCTACGCAATTCTCTACTATATCCCTGGTGCCTAGAACACAGTCGTAGCTCAATAATTTGTTAGATGAGTAAATGCTTTGCAACATGAGCTGGGCCCAGGGAGGATGGCTAACAGATGCTTGAACAAATGAGGGATTATTTCCACTCCTACTCTGGGAGCGGGGACTTGGAACCTTCCTTTGAGACAGGGGGATGGGACAGATCAGGCTTGTCATATGCATAAACAGGTATCTGGGGAGGTAGGTGTGTGGTCCCAATCCCACACAAACAGCGAGGTCAGGAGGGCTGAGGGTCAGAGTTGGCCTCCACACAACCAGGTACCTGCCTCCAGCGTGGCCTCTCTCCCAGGCACCCCAAATGCAACTTACCCCAACCTCCTCCCCTTCAGGTTTCCTGTCACACTGCCTCCTTCCCTGGACAGGAAGCCACCAATTCTCTCTTAACTCGTCATTTTTCTCCACTCTCCTCACCGCTACTCTGGCCTAGGCACCTGCATTGCTAATCCAGGTCTCCGCACTCACCTCCTGGCTGGTCTCCCTGTCTCTGCCTGGGCCTCTCTAATCCATTACCCTGGCTGCTCAGGGCCAACGTTCCTCCACAGCTGCCACCCACTGCCACCACCTGCTCTAGACCCCTCTAGGGCCCCCTGCTGCCCCTGGGTGAAGCTGCCCCACACCTCCAGCTGAACCGCTGGCCTCTCTCCACTCTTCCCACTCGCCCTCCACTGCACGGACGGTTCTTTCCTGCCGGTGGGTTGAATCCCCTAGACCCCTCTAGGGCCCCCTGCTGCCCCTGGGTGAAGCTGCCCCACACCTCCAGCTGAACTGCTGGCCTCTCTCCACTCTTCCCACTCGCCCTCCACTGCACGGACGGTTCTTTCCTGCCGGTGGGTTGAATCCCGGATCCACCACCTACCAGCCCAGTGACCTTGAGGAAGTTACTTAACTTCCCCATACTTCAGTTTCCTCATCTGTAAAATGGAGGTAATTACTGTACCTACCTTATAAAGTTGTTGAGAGCATTAAATAAATTAGTATAAAGTAAGATCTATATAGGTTCATGATGATTATTATTTTTATATCCAACTTCCTCAGCCTGAAAGGGAGGCTTCTTTCCCTTTTCTCTGCCTAACTCCCATTCCTTCTTAAAAATGCATCCCGAGTGTCACCTCTTCCAGGTAGGCTTCCGGGTCCTCTCTCCTCCCTCCCCCTGCATGGCTGAGGTTAGATGCTTGTCCTACAGTGCTCCGCACACACCCCTGTCCCAGCCATGCCACCTGCACCACTATGTCCGTCTAACAATCTGTCTCACTGACGGTTAGTGGGCCACTCAGGCAGGATGGCAGGTGGTCAGAGAGGACAGTGGTGCCATCCCTCCAAGAGAAGTGGGAAGATGGAATGGAGCTGCTAGGGAGAGCGTGTGAAGTTGCCCAGGGGAAGGAGGCTGGGTGCTATGAAGAGGTGGCGGGCTGGGCAAGGGCAGCTCCAAAAGGTGGGAAGGACAGACAGGCTGCGGACGGTGGGGACGAGGGCTGAATGGGGCAGCTAAGAGAGGGTGTGGGCATAGGGGCCACAGCGTAGATCATTTCTCTACCTGTTTTCTTGTCCGAGTCTTCCCTGTCCTCAGTTTAATGTAGCGTGCGATCAACTCATTGCGACCTAGATTGGGGTGAGAGAAAAAATGAGGAGTGGGCAAACAGTGGAGCTGGAGGCCAGAGACCCCCTGCCCCCAGGGAAACCACACCAGGACCCTCCCCCAAACACTGCTCTTCTGCTCCCTCCCACTCTCTTCACTCCAGGACCCCCCAGGCTGCACAAGCAAGACAGGCAAAGGTGGCCAGGGGGTCCCAGGTGCTCCCCCTACCACCTCCAGGACCTAGGGGGACTGCTCATTAGGGGATGGCGTGGAGGGGGAGTGTTGCAGAGCAGGAGGAAGGAGAGGCGGAACGCCAGGTGGTGAACAGGCTCTCTGCAGACAGACAGGGGCAGGTGTGGCACAGGTCAGCAGGACAGCGGGCCTGTTCCGGCACGGTGCCCCTGTCACTCCCAGCCCCCAGTAGTGTTCCTGTGTCACAGATCCAAAGCTCTGAGTGTGTGTACCTGCATGCGGGTGTTTGCCCATGTGTGTGACTGAGCCCTGCCCCAGGTGGTAGGCATCTCAACACATGTCCCCATGCATGTCTGAAAGAGTCCTGTCCTGGTTCTGTCCTCACCATGGAGCAAGACCCTGGACAAGTCCCTTTCCTTCTCTGGTGATGGAAGCCAGGAAGGACTGGAAGGAAGGAGGGACCAGACTGCCTCCAACATGCCTTCTACACTGAGAGACTGTGTCAAGATGTGTCACTGAGCATGTTCTTGTGCCTGTCATCCCCAAGTCACTGGTTACCACTGTCTTTCTTATCCCATGAGAACCCAGCTGCCTATCCAACTTGGGGTGAGGGGTGCGGGTCTCTGCTCAGCACCTTGAACCCTCTGAGGGCCCAGAGGTTGGCCAATGACTGGGGACTTGGCCCTGCAAGGGGGTTACTTGGGACACATGGCTGATCGTATGTCAGCTTCCTCAGGGTGTAGACCTCTACCCCCCAAACCCAGGCCCTCTGCCCCCCAACCCCATGTCCTCCCCAGAATGGCCACATTCTCCAAATTCCTTTCCCATGACAGAACCAGCCCCACTGCTCCTCCCTTCCGCTGGCCCCTCTCCACCCTACTCCCTCCGCCCTGTCTAAAAATACCCTGTGGGGCTGCCCCAGCCATCTGGGAGGTAGTGCGGGCAGGGGCCCCTGCCCTATGGAGGGCCCTGGAACATCTGCCTGCCCCAAGAGGAGGGTTCTGGTGCTAAGGGTGGGCATGGCAACAAAGGGGTGGGCCTGAGGGTCACAGGGTGGCCTACCACTTCCTGCATCCACCACAGTCCTGGGCGCTGGGAGGGGAAAGGCCAAGGCCCTGCCTCACTCAACCATAGGCTGCTAGGGAGGCTTGGGAACCACTGGCAAGAAACCAGGTCCAGAAGGGGAGAGTTACCCTAAAAATGCAGCTCTGGGAGAGCCTTCTTGGGGCTGGACAAGAGGGGGACACTCCATTCTAGAGGTGGGCAAAATGGCAGGGAGAGGGGCCAGGAAAACAGTGGAGACTGAAGGTGATGGGAATGGACAAGGCCCTGCGTGCCCGCAGCTCTCTTCCCCCATATACTGGAGAGAACTGTGCTGCGACCCTCCCCCCAGGCCTCATCATCTCAGGCTCCCAGGGGAGGGACCCTCTCCAGGCTTTGCCTGGAGCAGACTGGACTGACCCAGTTTCCTGGGCCCACCAAGTCACCCCGAAACCTCCAGGCCAGTAGAAGGGAGGGAAGGAGGAACAGGCGGGGGTGTGAGGTGTGGGCTGTGCTCGCTTGTAGCTCGTAGCGGGGGCAAGCCTGGCTTGTTTGTGAGGAGGCAGCACTAGAGGAGGATCC